GAAGAGCGGGAATGAAATGAAAAGAATCTCTGACTTGTATTTCTTCTTGTCACCTGCATCAAGCCTTGTGTGAAATGCCCAGCTCGACTGCCACGTGGGGAGCAGCACTGCATCTCTCATCAGTTCTTAAAAACCCTCCCAAATTCTGTTTCAGAACAGATTTCTTGTACTTCTGATGACAGTGAGCCTTGCTGAAAGGGATTCAGGTGGTGGTGCCTGTGTGTGAAGGTAGCCTTCCCACTGCTTGGCAGGAAGAAAGAAGCTACCTGAGAAGTCCTGTCTGAGTGTCATGTGCATATTTCTGATTGATTCTGTGCAATATGCTTTGAGCAGCATCAGGAGCCAGTGCTGGGGTAAGGAGGCCCCCACAAAGGCAGAGGAGAAGTCAAGGATTGAAAAGATAGATATCCAAAACCCCCAGTGGTTGTATGTATAGGAAGGATGGATTTTGCTGGGAGGTGGGTTGGTGGGTTCTTGGTGTTTGATCTACATCTGTGTGTAGCCTTCTGGTGCAGGGTAGTGCTGTTCTCCTTGCCTTCACTGCCCTCCAGGAGGTCCTGTTGCCTGGTTTTGGTGGAACATGTCTCCTCTAAGGAGCTGGGAGTAGCTACTGCTGCTCAGTTCTGCTGGGGTGAAGAATACTTCTTGTCTTCTTGCAGTGCAAATAACTGAGCTTAGGAGACTGATGAAGTTTACCCTTTCTAAGCAATAACTTAAACTCTGAGAGTTTCTAGCTGTCAACAGAAGCAATTAAGTATCTGGGCAGTGGTATAATGAACTGAATTATTTAATTGAAATAAATCTTGGCACAGTCATTGGCTAATCTAAACGAGGCATTAATATATGAGAAGTACTGAACCTCACAGTTTGTGGCAAGCTTAGTGCTTGGAAAAAAATCTTCTCTTACTGATACTTGTGTCCAATTTGTCTTCTGTATTTCTAGTTGCAAATGCCTGCTTGGAGTGTTATGAAATGACCACATATATATTCATATTCTGTATGAAATCTGACATTTCAGTGCCAAAGCTTGTCACTTAGTCAGCCTGGTATTGAATGAAATAAGGGTGTGAGTGGGACTTTGAGGAGCACAGAAGGACCCCTGGAAGTAGAGTCTCACCAGTGCTCTTTCTGATGGACTGGAAGTATTTAGTTAAGCTCCATTTCTTTTCCTTCCACAAGCCATCTGTGTTGCTCTGGAGGTTAAACAGCAAGGTCCAGTTGTGTTTGTGTCCAGCGTGGGCCCCAGGCTTAATTTGCAGCATCCGCTTGGCCTTCCTCTGTGCTCTTCTGCCTCTTGCCCCATGCTGTGCATTAGTTGAAGTGACAAAGTTTCAGGTTCCCATCTCCCAGCCCTGGCAGTACCTTCTCATTCTTTTACAAGCCCTTCTTTTTCAGGCTTCACTCCTCACCAGCAAGCTGGGCTGTTTAGGTGGTGGCTGCCACTGCTGCAGACTTCATTCCATCTTTACCACTTCTTCCTCCCTCCCTCCACCCTTTTCTTCTTTGGCCATCCTGTGTCTAGTACTCCATGGCTTCACTGGAAGGTCCTTTGTAGGAAAGACCCTTCACCTTCCTTGCTCTGCTGACCTTCACTGCTTTTTGTGTTTGGCTTTGCTCCATCAGCACCTCTGGAATTAATTTGGAAGCCTGGATCAGCCTTTGGGTAACTCAGTTTTAGAACACTTGGCTTTTTTGCATGAGTCTTTTAGAGGCTTCAGGGTCATTTGCTTAGAATACATTTCTAATGGCTGGAATTAGCTGAAACTAAGATTTTAAAACTCTTTGTTCTAATAAAACAAAGGAAAGCACAGAAATCATAGTCAAGAGGGGAGAAGCCTGTTTTATAGCTATGGCTGTGGCAGGTACTACTTAACCTGATGTAGGAGAGAAAAGGAGAAAAAAATGCAGGTATTATCTGTGTCAGTTTATTTTTATTTTGAGAGCTCTGCTACCTTTTCTTAATTCCTTGTGATAGGTGACAGACTTGAGAGACTGTCCTTGGGCTTTCTGCTAAGGCTTGAAGACACATTGATCTGTGAGTGGTGTCTTGAAAGTGCACTGTGTCCCTTCAGGTGGCTTTTGGTTCCATAATATTTGGCTCCTGTGAGCACCAGGGGGAAGGAAAGAATCTGATGCCAGGGAATGAGCCCAAGTCAAAACTGGAGTCAACTGGGAAAACATCTCAACTGCCTTAGTGGGGTGGGGTGAGACTTCAGCTGACCTGCAGAGCTTGTAGCACAAGTGTCCTAAGCCTGCAAAGCCCTGGAGTTGAATTAGTGCATGTTCATGGTATCCTATTTAAATGTTAGCAAATCACAGCTGGGATTTGTACAGAGAAAGTAGGTGGAAAATGCAAGAAACTGCTTCCCAAGTCATCTTGGTTGACTGTGACTTCCTGGGGACTCCTCTTTGAATTCTCTGTCCCTTAACAGGGTAAGTCCTGTTTGAACCTGGGTCTTTACTGTTGCTGGAAATGGCACTTTTTCTTCTCTTTTATTATTATTTTTTGAAAATAAGGCTGCCCTCTGGTGGCCAGGTTCACACCTGCTGCCTCCCTATTGCACCCAGTAAGTAAAATACCTGCTCACCTTGCCTGCACCCCCAAGAGTGTGTTGGCCTGGAAGCTGGGATGTGTTAGCTCTGTCTGACTGACCTCCTGTGATCTTCCCCTGCTTTAGCTAAAGACCAGGTTTCCTGGGAATTAAGAAATCTGAAGAGGCCTTTGTTTGCCCCTCAAGGAATCTTAGAGCCCACCTAGTTTTTCTTGTAAGTCAATGAAAAGTTTCACTCTCCTTTGGGTACACGAAGTGATAATATGTTCCCTGCATTTAAAGAAGTCCATCTTGCCTGTTCCAGTTGTGAGAGTCAGTGGTGAGATGCGTGGAGCACCTTTCCTTTCTTCTTCCCCCCTGTCCTGCTTGAGTGGAGGGTTGTTTTATGGAACCTGAGTCCTCTGGCAACACCATAGTTCCTGACTTCTCCTGTCCTCAGTGGTGCTGAAGATGGATCAAGTGGCATGCTCAGGTAGACAAGCACTGCTTATTGGGAGCCCATGAAACAGTCTGGTGTGCAAACACCTGCTTTGCTCTGGGCTTGTGAGCAGGACCCCCCATGATTCATTGCCTTGCAGGGTGGAGCCTGCCCAACCAAACCAGATGCTGCAGTGATGAATGGAGCAGCACATCTTCCCTTAATGGCTTGTTGCATTGTTGCAGATGCTCTGGGAAAGGGAACAGATGCTGATGAGAATTTATGTTCCTCTCCTGCCAAGTAACTGGGTGCTGTGGTTGCTCTCTTAGAAGTTCTTTTCAAGGCTTTGTTATAGATAGAGGCTGGTTAAACTAGGTGGAAAATAGTGTGGTTTGCTTTAATGAACTTGTGTTCACTTCTTAT